TTTACTAACACAGCCGGAAATTTCCCCCCAAACCCCCTGAAGATCATCAGCTTTTATTTCTCAGCAGAAAAATGAAGCGGGGGTGATGACGAGCGATCAGWCTTCAGGAGTCTGTTAACGAGAAACCGCACCTTCTCTTTCTGGAGAGGTGAACATGAAGAGCAGAGCCGTCTGCGGTCCGATGAGTCAGTGCTTCATGTCAGGCAGCGAGTAGCTGCAAGTACAGACAGAGCCCCGGGGGGCCCGGCCCGGCCCGCGGGACTTTCTGCCTCAGCAGCTTAAACTCACCAAACATCTTCATCTTCTCCTCCTCTGTGGAAGTGAACGTGCTGAAACCTCACAAGAATATCAGGTTTAACCAATAGTTTGGAGTTTTAAGGAAAAAGACGGGGAAAGGCATGCATCTGCAGAAAGAAATATGCAAATTCATTTTTTTTTTTTGTTCAGCAAAACTTTGGAAAAAAGGAAAATAGACTATGATGCATTTGGATTTGTTTTCCATTTTATGCAAATTGTGATGACAAACATCCCTGCAGAAACTAGACAGGTTCACACCCTCAAACCAGTGTAAACATGCAGCGTGAAGTCAGGGAAACGACTTTATATAACAAGTTTTTATAGGTTTTATTCAAAAACTCGTGGCTCAAACAACCTCAGGCTCCTTTAAACAACTTTACATCCAAATCGAACATTTGTGTGAAACTGATTTAAAATCCAAGTCGTTTTTGTAACTTTTTATGCTTTTTAAAATATTTAATGTTTTAATCTTTTCAATTGTTTTTCAAAAGCATTGTTTTAATTTAAATCTGCTTCAGAGCACCTGATTTGTTTTTGTCTCATGCTCTTTTTTTTAGCTTCTAGCTAGCCTCCTGCTACTTTTTAGTTTTTATATAACATTTATTTAATCTTTAAGCTAACCTTCTGCTATTCTTATCTTTTAACTCACTTTTTGCTGGTTTTGACTAGGCTTTTGACACTTYTAGCATTCCACTAGCCTTTTGCTACCTTTTGGCTTTCAACTAAATTTTTGCTGTTTTTAAACTAGCCTTTTTGTCACTGTTGTTCCTTTTTGTCTACCGTTTTGCTTCATTTAGCTTTTAACTGCTGTTCTGCTCAGTTTATCTATCTATCTATCTATCTATCTATCTATCTATCTATCTATCTATCTATCTATCTATCTATCTATCTATCTATCNTATCTATCTATCTATCTATCTATCTATCTATCTATCTATCTATCTATCTATCTATCTATCTATCTATCTATCTATCTATCTATCTATCTGGTTTCAGGTTTATTATTTGCTTCTGATTTTATGTTGATGTAGGAATATATGTAGTCCTTTTTGCCTTTTTGTTTTAGTGGTTGTAAAGATGGAAAAACTAATCCAAAAAGGCTTTCGGGATGGTGGTTGTTGTGGTTGTTGTTGTTGTTGTTGTTGAACCTCCAGCGCAGCTTTAATATCTGTGAAACAAGCACACAGCCCTCCTCGTCGATTTTCCTGACAAAGATTCCTGAAACAGCCGAACATCTGAAAACACTTGCGAGCCGAACAGAGAGCTTGTTGTGAAACGTGTCGTATATCARGAGCTGCGACAGGCAGTCAGTAGAAATGCAGATTTCTTTGGGATTTAAGGGAATTTCTGTGGCGACCGTCACTGAAGCTGCAGAAATGTTGATGTTCACTTCGGCAGATGAAAGCAAACCCGRTGGAAGGACCAGGGTTCGTGTTTCTGACACACAAAAAGTTTTTTAATCAACCACATGTGGACAGTTTTACTAACAGGAACATGAATTGAATGAAGCACATAAAAATACAAGTACAAAAAAATCTGTTTTGTTAATGTAGTGAGATTTTTTTTAGGTCAATTAAGGGTGTAGAAAAACTTGCACCAACAAGAACACAGCAGCTACACAACCTGGCAACAAAACTACACATCCTGAGTTCATAAAACAAGTTTTAATGAACATTTGAAGCCAAATAAAAGTCTAGCTGCTCACAATTTCCTATCATTATGGTATTTATTTCARAAGTTATTATACCTCATTTTCTAGATCATTACAATCTGACTTTTAAAGCTTTTGGAAATAAATTGTCAAAGAAAAACAGAATTCTTTAAAATGCATATCACCCACTACTGCATTGTCCAAGTTTCAAACATCATATTATGATTAAAGGGGCGGAGCCTGTTCTATGATCCCAGTTGAGGATGACTCTCAGCTACTCCTACAACAACTTTAGCTTAATATTTGTAAAATTCAGTCACCTTTTTTTTTTTTGCTTGAATTGACTCCAGTCAGTGTTTAATCAGTCAAATATGCAAAAAAAAGTTTCATTAGAATTTATCCAGTTGTTCATGAGATATTTTGCTAACAAACACAAATGCAAAGATGCGTTCAGGTACATGATCACCCACCTCTCATGACATAGGCCTCATATAATTGACCTCTCAGKGATGACATCTGAGTCGAAAGGTAAAAACTGAACATAATACCTGGAAAATATTAAAGAAAATTTGTCATTTCAGTTTTTTTTTTATTTTTTTCAAGCTGCAAAACAAAAACATTTAGATCTTTAGTTTTAAATAGACAGTTTCTGACTCATATTGGATTATAAAAAAATAAATCCCCAATCTGAATATACAATCCTAATCTGAACAAGACAAGATGTAGTGATGATGATGAGTCTGGAGGAATCAGATTCTTCTCTGGTCGTATATTAAACTCCTCTGACATGTTGAACTTTTACTCACAGGTTATATTTTTAAACGTTTAATCCTTTTAGTCCGAACAGAACTGTTTGTTTATGAGCAATAATAAATCTGAATTTACCTGTTTTTACAAAATCATGAAGAAGCTTTCATGTTTGGCTTTATGACGCTAGCTTTAGCGTTAGCTTTGTTTTTAATAAATTTCCTTTCTGATTCTGTTATCTTTTAAAGATAAAGCTAAAGGTCCTATGAGCTAATTAGAATGAAGTATACTGATATTCCACATTTTTCTTCATATTTTTTAATGTTTGCCTCATTAAAGGTGCGTTCGTGTCTCTGTTAGCAAAATATCTAATACACCAATGGACAAATTTCAATGAAGCGCTCAGAAATTAATGATTTAAACCTGTACTCTAACAAACATCTGGAGTCAAAGCAATTCAAGATGGCWGCCACCGTTAATCAAGCACAATGCTTGTATTTCAGTTATTTTTACACACATTAAGCTAAACTTTGCAGTGGTAGCAGCTGAGAGTCGCAGTTATCACACACTCTGAGCACATCAGATTTCTGTTAAAACTTCGGCATGCAAGGCGGCGAGCATTATGCATTCAGTTTAAATCAGTTTATTTATGCAGTCGTCTCACAGCGCTGTGCGAAAACATTCCAATTCGTTATTAAATGTTGGTTTTAGCAGCAGGACTTGTAGTTTAATTTGTGCGTCTTGTTTTTGTGTTTCCAAATCACTGAATTTTAATAAGAAAGGTCAAGTCGCTGACATTTTCTCAGAGGTTTTCGTGATGAGGTGTGTTCTTGCACACACACAAAGACACGCACTTTCTGTAAGATCCAAACCTGACTGAGTTCATGATTAGCGTACGTCAGCAGCAGGCTGCTCCCAGCTGCATGGGTGGGGGCCCGGGGTTAAAGGTCGCCTCTGAAAATTCCTGACATGCAGCTGTCTCTCCACCCACTTCGCTTCACCGCCCTCCCCTCCTCCTCCTCCTCCCGCCGCCGCCGCTGCTGCWGCTCGTGTTGTCGTTTCCAGGTCAGAGTGCCTGGCTGCAGGGAAGGAGGGTCCGACTTGGCAGACGAGAAAAGCAAAATGACAGCCTTGTGCGAAGGAGGCAGAGAGCGTGCCAGAATGTTCAGGGTTTCATGAAAACACGGGCTCGTAGTCAAACGTGTCTGCACCATTCAGAGCYGAGACAATCAGGGAAATCAGCGCTTTGCTTCTCTGTGTGTTTCAGGTTTGCTCCATCGTTGCTTTGATATCCAGAGACGAGGATGGCGATGCAAAGTAAGTCGTTCAGCCCTTTTTCTTCTCATCTCTTCTAATGTCTCTGTTCTGTTCTTTTTGTTATATAATCCCTGCTCACTGGCGCRCATAAATCATGTTGAAAGCTAAATATTTGAGTTATTTGGACCCTTACCTGAATTCTATAAAACATTTTGCTGTGTCATTGAATGCTGRTATTAACTGAAGTATTTTCTAATAACATTGTTCTGTTATGTTATAAGAAAAACCCTTTGTGTGGCTGTGTGAAAAGTCTATATTATAGGTGATTTAAATWGACAAAAACCCATCAGTTTATTTAAGACTGTAAATATCAGGTTAGCTTAATTATTTAGAAAGATTGTATGACATGCAGTAAGACATATGTTAAATCTAAGAAAAATGGCAAAAACTAACCTTGTTTTGCTATAAAATTGTGATATTTCTTTTTCTTTTTTTGTCTAAAATAGCCTGTTTATTAAAAAAGGTTTACAAATTGCCTTTAAATGTCCATTGGCCTAAAAATAAATTCCTTTTTATATGCAAAACAGTAACAGAATTAGCTATTTAGACTAAATTAGACTGTAAAGAGTATTTTTAGAGCATTTGTGGGGTTTTTTTTTTTTTTTGAGTTAAGTGGCATCATTATGAATCTTTTAGAGTATTTATTTATTAGATTTAAACACCAGCCTGTTTTCATGTGTTCACATAAAGGCCACTCTTATAATAGTAAGAATATCTGCATGTTTAAACACAGATGCATGCTGCAAACATTAAACTTTAGGACATGATAAATTAATCTGCTCTAAAGGTYGTCGGACAAGAATCTTCGATTCAGCCTTGAATAAACTGAACCAAGTCAGATTGTTACTCGTTTAATCTTGAATGTTTTGTTTTTATCACTTTGATTCAGCGTCGCAGACAAATAGTTTGTGAGGTAATTTTAAGCTAACCGGGTCAGTCCGGTCCCTGTAATCAGACCTGGATTTGTGTCTTCATCCTTGGACTCTGTTGGACTCGGTCTGGTTYGTGGACATGGTCTGAAGGAGCAGTCCTGGAGAGGAGGGTGTCTGGTTTGAGAACTTCAGGGTCTCTTTTCTGCTTTATGCAGATGATGTGGTTCTGTTGGCACCTTTGAGCCAAGACCTTCAGTGTGCACTGTGCAGCCGAGCGCAGGGTTGTAAAGTAACTAAGTACAAATACTTTGTTACTGTACTTAAGTAGAAATTTTGGTTATCTGTACTTTACTTGAGTAATTATTTTTCAGCGKACTTTTTACTTTTACTCATTACATTTTTACACAATCATCTGTACTTTCTACTCACTACATTTTTTAAAAAKGTAAGAAGTAGAAAGTCGTTACTCCTATTTTATTCCGAGTTGTTATTACTTAAAAAATACTATCCTGATAAATTGTCTCCTGGATAGAGTGAATTTAATTGTGGTTGGATGAGAAGTATAAATATATACCATTCTGRCACACTATTATCTTGTACACAACCCATCACAGCTGCACGCTGTTAGAAAATATATTTTTTGGAGAAGTCACCTCCCAATAAATGTCATTTTGGAAAATCTAACAGCTCACTTWTACTCAGWASTTTTACTTTTAATACTTAAGTAGATTTTGTGTCAGAAATTTACTTTTGATATAGTACAAAAATATCAGATACTTTAAGACTTTTACTCAAGAGATATTTTTAGAGAAGACTTTAACTTTTACCAAAGTATTTTTATGATGAGATACTTGTACCTTTACTCAAGTATCACTTTGAGGTACTTTACACAACACTGGCCAAGTGTCATGGTTCTCAACCAGTGACGGGTGGAATGACACCCTCTGGGGTTTGTGGGGAGGTTTAGCCTCAAGTGGAGGAGTTTGAAGTGAGTTATGTTCACCAGTGTTGGAGGGATGGATCAAGACCTCGTCCTCTTTAATGAGGGGGGTCTCTTTGGTCAGTCACATTGAAGAAAGATTTGAGGGGAACAGAACGGCTCTTGATTTACTGGTCTATGTTCCAACCCTCACCTGTGGTCATGAGGTGGATCATGACTGAAAGACTGAGATCTCATACACAAGCTGCTGAAAGGAGCTTCCTTCAGAGGCGGGCCGAGCTCAGCCGAGGGGGAGTTTGGAGTAGAGCCGCTGCTCCTTCACATTGAAAGGAGTCTGTTGATCTGTCATCTTGAATAGGATGCCTCCTGGACACCTCCCTTTGRAGGTTTTCCAGGCATGTCCCATTGCAAAGAGGCCCCGGGGCAAACCCAGACCTTGCTGGAGGGATTRTGTATCCTCTGTCCTTGGGGGTCCCTGCAAAAGGAGCYGAGTGTCTCTGTGGAGAGGAGTGTCTGGGTTTCTCTCCTGGACCTTTTGGCTTTAGGAAAAAGTRGAAGATGAAGTATTTTTAACAATTCAGCCAAAGACTCTTAATTTTTTCACGATGTTTATGAAATTGTTCAAMACTCCTCAGCTGCCTCACTGGTTGATTGTCTCGGTGTTTGGCAGTGGGAGAGATGAAAAGCGGCTCGGTGAAGGTGGAAGAGTGGCAGCAGAAGATGTACGGCCTCGACTCGGGCATCCAGTCAGGAGCCAACACCATCAATGATGACGAGATGGTAACATCGAGGCATTACACCATGACCACCACCGTCACAAGAGAGAATCCTGGTGAGTCCAAAGCAGTGTTCAGACCTAACATTAYGAGGMTAAAAGCCACACTTTRAAAATTTTTACTTKGACATGATTTTTCCAGATTTACATGACAAGTACACATTGACCAGAGCACAGCGGGTGAGAGAAGCCATGTTCCCCGAGTCGCTGGAGTCCGGCGTCACCATCCTGTCCACCCAGACGGATCCGTCCCAGATGACCAACGTGCAAAAGCTGGCCGAGCCATCTCAGCTGCTCAAAACGGCCATTGTCCATCTCATCAACTACCAGGATGACGCCGAGCTGGCGTCCCGGGCCATGCCGGAGCTCACCAAACTGCTCAACGACGAAGACCAGGTGACGAGTTGGAACATTTGATTGTACTTTCTTTTTATTTTAGCTGAGATTCAGAGGAATAATCTGGTTTTTAATTGTGATTTAAAAACCTTTCTGTTCACGTTTATCTCTTAAATGTGATAATTCCATTATTAATAATCTGTTATCAGGTGGTGGTTAGCAAGGCAGCTCAGATYGTCAACCAGCTGACTCGTAAGGAGGCCTCGCGGCACGCCCTGACGCAGTCCCCTCAGATGGTGGCGGCGGTGGTCCGCGCCATGCAGAACACGAGCGACATGGAAACGGCCAAAGCAACAACCAGCATCCTCCACAACCTGTCCCACCAGAGGGAGGGTCTGCTYGCCATCTTCAAGTCAGGAGGGATCCCCGCCCTCGTCCGTATGCTCAGGTGTGACGTTAGTCCCCACAGTTTAAAGAATCACCCATCTCAGCTCTCAAACACGTCACCTAAAGTCAGTTTTGGTACTTGAAATAGCTGTTCTTAGGTTTGACCGATGCATGTWTTTGTCTTCCTCAGCTCCCCCATGGAGGCGGTGCTCTTCTACGCCATCACCACCCTCCACAACCTGCTGCTGCACCAGGAGGGTGCCAAGATGGCCGTGCGTCTGGCCGACGGCCTCCAGAGGATGGTCCCCCTGCTGAAGAAGAGCAACCCCAAGTTCCTGGCCATCACCACAGACTGTCTGCAGCTGCTGTCGTATGGAAACCAGGAGAGCAAGGTGTGTGTGTGTGTGTGTGTGTGTGTGTGTGTGTGTGTGTGTGTGTGTGTGTGTGTGTGTGTGTGTGTGTGTG